TAACTGTGTCACTCTTGTGTTTAACTGTGTCACTCGAGTTTAACTGTGTCACTCTTGTGTTTAACTGTGCCACTCTTGTGTTTAACTGTCTCGAGTTTAACTGTGTCACTCTTGTGTTTAACTGTGTCACTCGTGTTTAACTGTGTCACTCTTGTGTTTAACTGTGCCACTCTTGTGTTTAACTGTCCCTCGAGTTTAACTGTGTCACTCTTGTGTTTAACTGTGTCACTCGAGTTTAACTGTTTCATTCTTGTGTTTAACTGTGTCACTCTTGTGTTTAACTGTGTCACTCTTGTGTTTAACTGTCTCACTCTTGTGTTTAACTGTCTCACTCTTGTGTTTAACCGTCTCACTCTTGTGTTTAACTGTCTCACTCTTGTGTTTAACTGTCTCACTCTTGTGTTTAACTGTCTCACTCTTGTGTTTAACTGTCTTACTCTTGTGTTTAACTGTCTCACTCTTGTAACTCTTGCAGCGGGTGTGTTGCTGCCATGGCACAAAGAAAACGTTTGTCCAACACACAGAGTTCCTCTCAGAATAAAGTAAGTTCGTAATACGAGTGTTTCTTTTTCTCTACATTTTTTTAGTTCTCTTAATTTCTGTTAGCAAATTATCTCAATCAGTCCGACCTGTTGTATTACAGCAGGTTTTAATCGCGGTGTGTTTGTGTTGCCTCAGTCCAGCTGTGCAGCGTCTCAGGATGAGGGTGAAGATTATTCCTTCACTCAGCCCAGCTCAACTCAGGTTCAGAGGGGTCTGGAGAAACTCACCACTGCTCAAGTGGACCAAAAGGTCACACTCAAAACATAACTAATTTTTTTTAATCAATGCTCCTTAGCTTTTGTACAAGAAGTACTTGTAATTTTCAAAAAGTGAAACTTCATTTTATTAAAGCTTTTGTTCTGCTGCTACAGACAGCTGAGGTGGTGCAGTACTTCTTGATGAAGGACCAAAAAAAGATCCCAGTACGCCGTGCAGGTACAGTATCCTAATGTTTAAATTTACTGTGAAACCTGCAGTATTTATATTTATTTACTCTTGATTTATTTGTTTGTTATTTTAAGTATGTCATAAAAAAAGTTTCACACATTTACAGCGTAGCATTCAGTGCATTGAACGATAGAAATAAGAAGTGTACATATATCTAAAAAAAATTAAATCTGGTCCTCTGGACATTAAAAAAAAATGTAGAAACGTTTCGTCTTTCATCCGAGAGACTTCCTCAGTCTGAGGAGCTGTATTCAACTCAGTCTCTTAAATAGCACCTTCTCAGAGTGGATCAACCAGTTTTGCTGCTGACAACCAAAACCAGCTGATCACATGCTCAAGAAGGACCATCAGCCTAACAATGGATCATTAGCACCTGATGGCTGTTTACTGTTCACAGAGGGCTGAGTGATACTAGCAATCACAGCATTGTAAGAGGGGGACAGTTGAACCCGGAGGCCTCCACCCCTGTTTAACGATGGACGATTTCTTTTCACAAAGATGGCCTCCTTTACTCCTCTCTCAAACCATCGTTCCTCTCTATCCAGGATGTGAACATCTTCATCCCTGAAAGAGTGACCGCTGGCCTGGAGATGAGTGTAGACCGCAGAGTCCTGGCCTGATGATGTTGATCTTCTGTGCTGGTCCATCCTTTTGGCCAGTGGCTGTTTAGTTTCCCCGATATAAGACTGATCACAGCCCTCCTGACACTGAACAGCATACACAACATTACTCTGTTTGTGCCGGGGGACTGGATCTTTGGGATGAACCAGTCTTTGCCGTAATGTATTTTGGGGTTTAAAAGCCACTGGGACGTTATGTTTAGAAAATAAACGTCTCAGTTTCTCTGATACTCCCTCAACATATGGAATGACCACTGGTCTGGGTTCCTCCTTTTCACCTGTTGGCTGACTGGAGTTCTGTTTGGGTTTTTTTTTTCTTTTTTTTTTTTTTTTTTTCTTCATTTAACCTTTATTTATCCAGGTTAGTCTCATTGAGCCACGAGAACTCATTTGCAAGAGAGACCTGTTTTAGGGAGCACATGGTGGGGGTTAAGGGCCTTGCTCATGGGCCCAGAGTGGGGCGAATGAGGGTGGGGGCAAGTGTGGGTGTTTCACCTACCCCACCCACAATTTTGATGTTGTCGGGGCTGGGGCGTGAACCGGCGATCTTCGGATCACAAGCCCACCTCTCTAACCTCTGCGCCACCACTCCCCTTTTTTTCTTCTCTGCTTTCAGGAAGGCCCAGTTAGGATATCCACATTGCTCTAGAGCCTGTCTTGTGTGGGATTTCTCCTTCTGCCTGGCTCCTGAGCTAGTGGGGACACTGTCTGCTCTGTGGTACAGAGTCCTGATGACTCCTAACTTGTGCTCCAAAGGGTGATGGGAGTCAAACCATCCAGAGGACCTGACTCAGTCATGTTAGATTTATCTACCTGGAATATTGAAGATTATTATACTTTCAACATTCAGAAATTTTCAATGTTGTCTAAGTGAACAAATCAGACAATATTATATACAAGCCTGATTTATCAAACAAGAACCAAACTAAAGTTCAGATGTCTTTCATTCTGGACCTTTACTTTTGGATTGTATCTTTAGGCAGAGCTTGATGAATATTAAATGTGGAATTTTTCTATAAATAAAGCCAGCAAACCTTCAAGAAGACAATGACCTCACAGTGACTTGCTTGTCCTTCTGACAGGGTGAAGCTCCACAATGATTCAAGGCAAAGACAAATGTAGCTTTAAAATGGTCTATTATTCATTCATTCAATCTTCAATGAGGGCCTAGTCCATATGTGTACACTGTTTCCCTTCAGGCTTCAAATAGCAGAACTCTGTATGGGTTGAGTAATAATACAGGGTCCCCAGCAACTCTGGACAAACAGAAATCTTCTATCTCTTAATTCTTAGAGCCATTTAAATCTTTATTTCTTGTCTAACTTTAAAAGTAAAAATCTAACCGTTCAGTATATTTTTGCTTTTCCAATTTTTTCCCCCTAACAATCAATACAGGAACCATTACCTTATATCCAGGTACATGTTAACAAATTCAGAGGGAATATTTCAACAGTCCTGACTCCCAAGGTTAATTTAACCACTTTTCAGATCTTCAGTTTAGGTCACAAGGAAGCATGAGATTTTCACAGGGTCGTTATGAATCAGACACATGTGATTATTAATCAGGCGCCTGTTCGTCCGTCTCCTTCCTCGGTCCATGTCATTTTCTCTCCTGTAAGGGAGCAAAGCAGACTGGGACTTTATCTGATTCACAGCCAAACAAATGTTTGTTTTCTTTAAAGACTATTTCTTGCACTACAGACCTTAAGCATGTGACCTTCAGCCATTTCAGTTTTTTTTTATCAGTCATTCTACTCATAAGACTTAACAAAAAACCCAAAACAAAAACAGAGTTCACACACTTTTATATCCTTACCAGTTCTGCAGAGTTCACAGAACAGAGTTGTCTTTGGTGCATGCTGCAGCCAAGTGCAAGTTGTTTATTTGTCATATGCAAGGTTTAACAGTACTGTAATTTCTGCCGTACACGTCACTCCACCATATAGGTTACATCAGTCCATATTTGTCTAATAAAGTGGAAAAATCCATAAATATGTCACTTCGCCGTATACGTCGCATCTATTATGCATCATCGCAGACGCGTCGCACTTGTTACGCGTCAACGCCGACAACCCGGAAATGTGGACCAGTGTTGTGCCAAAAACCGATGGGCTGCCAAATGGCGGCCGCGGGAGCGTGCACAGGAGGACTTTAACAAGTTTTTAACAAGATTAACACTTAAAAACAATTATTTGTTTGCTCAAAATTATATTAAATGTGTGTATCAATCTAGCGTGCGCTTAATAAATGTACTTTGAGGGTCAAATCAGCTCATGTGCTGATGTGTTTCACTATATAAAAAATAAAATTTTCTTTGAACTGAGAAAGAGCCACAGTTATTTTGGTTTTACAGTTCCTGGAACCAAAGCATCTGTCCAATGGTACGCAGTGGTATACAAAATACTCAGAGAAGTACATGATTCTGGTCTCCAACAGTATTTGAAAGTATTTCTTTCATGAGTAAAGACAAATTTCTACTGTAGTAAGTCAATGCTCTTGTTTTTGTCTTTGTAGATCTTGTAAAATATGTGGTGAAGGACTACAGAACCATCTACCCTGAGATCATAAAGAGGGCAGCACAAACGTTCGAGCAGGTTGGAAACGATCGGTGGCTGTACTTAAACCAATCACGTTATAGCACATCTATAGTTCTCTTTTTTTAAACCAGGTGTTTGGCTTGAAACTGGTTGAAATTGATCCCAAACTTCACATATACATACTGGTGAATAATTTGGAAGTGGCTACATCAAGAGCTTCACCAGTCAAGTGAGTACTGTCATTCATCCTCATGTAGTATTTTTTTGTCTCCTGTCACTGAGCAAAGAGGAGGAACTGGAAATATCCTGCATTTGTGCATGTTGTGAGCATAACTAGAAAAATAAACAACATGTCAATTTCCAGGATGATGTGTGGCTGCATCTACGTGTAACAAAGGTTACTATCAAAAATTGGGCTACCATGTCAAAATCAATTGACTGGGGTGACCAAAGATTAATCTATGGTGGCCAAGTCCACCATTGTCCACCTCCTGGATCCACCTGCTGGTGGAGGATAACATGTCTCCCTCCCCTTGCCAGGATCTGTCACTCAGACAAGAAAAAGAAAGAAAAACATCTGTCCCACACTGTAACTCTTATCCACTTGAATATCTTTCATCAAAAACATTAAGGTTTACTTGCGTTCTCTGTTCAGTTTCAGTCCAGAAAAACGCTCATCTCCAAAACCAGTCACTATGAGATGGTGCACACTGGAGTTCCACTTGTTTTTATCTGATTATAATTTTAAAAAAAAGAAAAACCATAATTGTTTACATGAGTTGAATTTGTTTTTAAACTTGTTTGTATTAATAAGTTATTTACTTGTGTAGATGCCCTGTCAATCCAAAGATGAGTCTCCTGTTTGTGGTCTTGAGTGTCATTTTCATGAAAGGAGGAATTGTTAAAGAAAGTGAGTGAGCTTCTTTTTTCAGTCACGACTTTATTCCATTCAGCGTGTTCATCCAGCACAGCGAGGTGTGTGATAAAACGGTTTGTTGCAATTTTCTAGATCTCATCTGGAATACTCTGAGGAAACTCCGTGTTGATTCTGGGTAGAGCAAGTTTAAATATATATCTTTTGTGTAGGTTTTGTTTGTAGATAAATTGCTACAATTATAAATGTACATGTTTCTTTTCTTTGTGTTTGTTATGTGTGCAAAATGTTTTTTCAGGCAAAAGCATGAAGAGTTTGGTGACGTGAAAAAAGTTGTCACTGATGAGTTTGTGCGTCAAAAGTAAGAATTAACTCTATTTGCCACTTAAACGTTTTACGGTAACCACGTTCACATTCACATTTGTATTTAATGTTTGGTTTTCTGAATGAGCTTGAATGATCTGATTTAGGACATATAGGTGATTCCCCTGCTGTTATCGGGGGGGGGGGGGGTAGTTTACTTGTATTACCTGTTCAATTCCAGTCTAGAAAAACATTAATCTTTAAAAACACAAATATTCACTATTCCAATCCCATCGACATTGTCGTACTATTTGTTAATTCATTATATGCTACTATTTTTATGGGGGCGTGGGCATCCCATTCCGGGGGGGGGGGGGGGGCAGGCCCTATTGAACAATAGTACAGAAAACACAGGCTTCTTCCCCATTCTGTGTTCTCATTTCTTTAAGGATGACATGCTGATGAAATAAAATTCAGATTTTTTTTATCACCACATTCACACACAAAAAAAAAATTCTGCATTTGTGTTATTTTCTAGTATTTAATTTGTTTTCAAGTATCATCTCCCTGTTTTTGAGCCCTTGGTGTCTGAGCTGTATGATCAGAATTTGATCAGATCTGTTTAAGGAAGTTTTTCACACTTGGTCCATTAGTTGTTGTCCTGATATACATGTCGCTCTCGTCAGGCTTCATTTACATGATGTGTGCTGCAGCCACTTGTAGAAAAGAAAAACCTTGACCCAACTATAGACTCTTAGTCTCTTAAACTATAAACCTATTTCTAAACTGTTTTTTTTCTGTTTAAAAAAATTTTTTTTGATTTATTTTTTATTTGTAATCCACCTGAAGAGATTTTTAACTGTCAACAGCATTGATGAAAAATACAAGTCAGGCATTAAATCAGGCCACATCACAGAGACAGCCCTTTAAAGAGTTTTCAATGATCTACTTTTAACTGTTGATTCAGGAAGTTCTGCTGCTTTTGATGCTGCGGATCACAACATGTTGTCACAGCTTGGCAGGTGGTCGGTATCAAAGGCACAGTTTTATCCTGGTTTAGATCCTACCTGACTGACAGGAGTTTTTCTGTTCATTTTCTTCATCTGTGACTCCTCTGATTTGTGGGGTCCCTTAAGGGTCTATTTTAGGTCCACTGCTTTTTTAATTTTTACTTGTTCAGTTCAATTCAGTTTATTTATGTAGCGCCAAATCACAACAGAAGTTGTCTCAGGGCACTGAACAGAAACATTCACATACATTATAAAAGCCAATTAGTAAAAGTTTTCTAAGGACGCCAGCAAATTTCACTGAATCTTTACTTTGTCACAGTCTCCCATCATGAGCAAGCCTGGTTGCATTTGGGGTCCATTTTTAGCAAATTTAACTTTACTTTTCATTGTCCTGATGCATGCTCAATAATCCAGGTAGATATCACAAGGTTGAGTCAGGTCCTCTGGACGGATTCTTCTTTGTTGAAACGTTTCACCTTATATTCAGAAGACTTCTTCAGTCTGAGGAGCTGCATCGAACTCAGTCTTAGTTCGAGTTCAAGTTCAAGAATATTTATTATCTCCAAGGGGCAACTTGTTTCACAGTCAGTAGTCACATAAAACATCCGTACTAGACAAGACATTGAGACATTAAAATAACAGAACAGAAATCATCACTGTTCGTTGAGAAGCCTGATCACCACAGGGATGAACGAGTTGTTCAGTCTGTTTGTTAAACATCTGGGCAACAACCTGAACTCACCATGGAGTGGTGATCAGGATCTGCCAGAATCAGCCTGACCTTGTTCACTGGCCTCACCTTGTGTAGGTCAGTGAGGTTCTGTAGGACTATACCAGCAGTTGAATTTGTTCCAGTTTTTACATGTCGAAAGTCCAAACCACCAGATGAAGGTGAAAGTTAAAAGAGACACAATAAAACATGAATAAAACATTTTCATAAAAGTAGAATCAACAATAAAACCACAGAGCTTCAGATAAAAATATATTCTCTGATGAGCCTTCTTACAAAGTGAGTTCACATGGGGGTCAAAGGTCAGTTTGTCATTGAGAACGGTTCCCAGATATTTATATTGATGCACCACCTCAACAGCTTCACTGTTAATGACCACAGGAGTGACAACTGAAGAGCCTTTTCTAAAATCAATGACCATCTCCTTTGTCGTAGAAACATATAACTTTAAAAAGGAAGACTCGCACCATTCTATGAAGTCCCTGACCACAGGCCATGGGTCTGGGTCATCACTGCTGAGAAGGGACAGGATGACAGAGTCATCAACAAACTTTAAATATGGAATATGGATTCTCACAGATATGTGATGCTGTGAGAACTGGCTTCAACAATTGTTTGTAGGGATGAGGCCGATCCGTTATCCGTATCGGGTTCCAATACCAGCATAATTTACGTATCAGATTTTTCCGATCCAACCTGCAGAGATTTCCGATCCATGATGCATGCCTGTGTCTGATGAAATGTCTCCACATGCGATTCCCTGCCGGCTGCTCTGCAAGTTGGCTTCAAACTATAGAATGGATTTCCTGAACGGAGGAGTGTGTCATGAAACCCAGAGTAATAAGACCCGCCTCACATTCAGGAAATCCATTTCATAGTTTACAGCCAGCTGAGGACTAAGCAGCACTGTGGCTAACGGCTAACCAACTTTTCATTGAAACATGTCCGCTGTGTGAAAGTATTTTACACTAGAAACACCACAAAGCAAGACAGCAACGTGCAATGTCTGCAGAGCCGCTGTACGAGAGGAGGAAGCTCCGTCGTGACCTACAATATAATGAACTTAATCAAACATAGCACCACATTAAACCACAGTAAAGTTAGTTTTACGTTGGACATTCGAGCTCCGTGGCTTCAGCAGTGTGTTCTTCTCATTCATTCCGAAGCAGGCAGTCTGATTTCGGTCAGCCATGCTCAATCTGCCCGTCCCAGGTAGAAAAATCTAAAAAAGTTCAGTTACCTTCTAATAGTGGATCAACCAGTTTGCTGGTGAAAACCAAAACTAGTTGTTCACATGCAAAAGGAGGACCATCAGCCTAAGAATTGATCGTTAGTGCCCCGATGGCCACTTGCTATTCACAGCGTGTTCAATAACAGCATTGTAATCGTGACATTTGAACATGAAATCCTCTGCACCTGTTGAACAATGAATGTTTTCTTCACAAAGATGGCTTCCTTTACGCCACTCTAGAACCAGCGTTCCTCTCTATCAAGGATGTGAACATCTTCATCCCTGAAAGAGTGACTGCTGGCCTGCAGATGAGTGTAGACCACAGATTTTATCTTCAAAAATGTTCTTGTTCTTCTTTCTTGTTTTAATTTTAATTAGACTATATTGTAAAGCACTTTGGTCATCTTATTGTTTTTATGTGCTATATAAATAAACTGACATCAGAAGGTCACAGGTCAAAGCATAATTTGTTGGTGTGTTCAGAGCCAGTGTCTCTCAGACCATAGATTCTGGTTTATACCACACCGCAGAGCAACTGAAAAGTGGAAGTAGCCACCCCCTCCCCCATGAGCAATGGGGTTGGCCCTCACACAATTTTCAAACAATAATCTGCTGTTGTGATGTTCCCTCACTAGAACTAGGCATGGTGGAACTTTGGTTATCATTTCGTTAGAGAAGATAGTTGTCGCTGTGATGTTGCTGACAAACTGTTTCCAAACTGAGCTTTTATATCAAGTCAAGTCACATTTATTTATATAGCACATTTAAAACAGTAACTGTTATCAAAGTGCTAACCAAAAAAGATCACAGCATCAAAAATTAATAACAACATATTACAGCAACATGAATAAAAGCATAAAAACTTTAAATATGAGAAACAATGAAATACTAAATCATATCACCCTGCGTTAAATGTCAGGGAGTAAAAGCAAAATGGATGAACACAGTCATCAACAACGAAATACCAAATGAGATCACACTGTTAAATGCCAATGAGTACAGATGTGTTTTGAGGAGAGATTTAAAAGCAGAGACTGAGGTGGCCTGTCGAATGTTGATGGGCAGATTATTCCAGAGTTTAGGGCCCATGACTGAAAACGCCCAATCTCCTCTGAGCTTCAAGCTGGTTTTTGGTACGGCCAAAAGCAGCTGGTCTGATGATCTCAAGGCCCGAGAAGGAGTATAAGGATGAAGGAGGTCGGAGAGGTATGAGGGTGCAAGGCCATTAACACACTTAAATGTCAGCAGGAGAATCTTAAAATCAACTCTTGACACGCACAGGAAGCCAGTGAAGGGAGGACAGAACCGGAGTAATGTGCTCAAACCTGCGTTATCTTTAGTAATATTCATGTTTCTTCCTTCCCATCCTGGTAAACTCTGGTCTGCCCGTCAGGTAGTCAGTGATCCAAGTCACTGACACAAACTTGTTTGATTGATGATTGTGTCATCTGTGCACCCCCCCCCCCCCCTCCCCATGCCTTTTCTTGCAGTTATGGAGTTGCATGCCTTCATAAAATAATTATTTAATAATTGATGCGTCGCTACATCTCAGTGTAAGAACAGTCACTATCAAAAATTGGGTTGTCATATCAAAACTCAAGATGACTACCACCACATATGTAAAATGGCCACCCCAATCGTTTGAGGAAACAGTTTTCTAGTTTTTATATTGTTTGAAAGTATAGATTCCTCAAATTATTTGGGTGGCTGAAGATAAATCTATTGGGATCTAAGGCCACCACTGGCCACCCCCTGGCTCCATCGTTGCACCTGGTTATGGATGAAATGTCTCCCTCCACTTGCCAGCATCCTTCACTCTGTGCTGCCTCGGGCAAGAAAAAACAGTTCTTCTACACAGTGTAACTCCTACTCAACTGAATATATTGCACCAAAAACATTAAGGTTTACTTGCATTCTCACAGTCCAGTTTACTTGCATACTTGCAGTCCACACAAACTCATCCAAAACTACAAACATTCCTTATTCAACTCCCTCAGAGACGGGACATCGGTGCACCACTTGTTTATATGAAGTGCCAGGACTTAAAACTTACTAGGACTATTCTGTGATGACTCAGGCTTCAACTTCCAGTTTTATCTGTGGAGTCTAGTAATTTTATGCCTGTCTGTGGTTCATACAACCAAATGTTTGCAGGTTAATGGAGTCTAGACCATTTCTGAAGACCACTTCATCTGGGGCCTCATTTACAAAGAGTGTGTGCACATAAAAACATGGCATATGCCATTTTTCAATTCAATTCAGTGTATTTATATAGTGCTAAATCGCAACAGAAGTCGTCTCAGGGCACTACACAGAAACATTCACATATATAAAAAGTCAGTTAATGACGTTATCTAGGGAGCCAGTACTTATTTCACGGAAAACTTCATATGTATCAAGAATGAAATGACTGGAAATGTGTGCAGCTCCACACCAGCTTCATGGCTGGCGTACGCACATTTCTATGGTTATTGGTCCATTAGCAACACTTAGAGGTGATACTGGGAAACTGTTAATGATGTGAAAACTATTATTGTACACACCAGACACACATTGCATACTTCCACATGCACGGTATGCAATTAGAGTGCCTTGCGAAAGTATTCGGCCCCCTTGAACTTTTCAACCTTTTGCCACATTTCAGTCTTCAATCATAAAGATATAAAATTTAAATTTTTTTGTGAGGAATCAACAACAAGTGGGACACAATCGTGAAGTGGAATGAAATTTATTGGATGTGTCAAACTTTTTTAACAAATAAAAAACTGAAAAGTGGGGCGTGCAATATTATTGGGCCCCTTTACTTTCAGTGCAGCAAACTCACTCCAGAAGTTCAGTGAGGATCTATGAATGATCCAATGTTGTCCCAAATGACTGATGATGATAAATAGAATCCACCTGTGTGTAATCAAAACTCCATATAAATGCACCTGCTCTGTGATAGTCTCAGGGGTCTGTTCAAAGAGCAGAGAGCATCATGAAGACCAAGGAACACACCAGGCAGGTCCGAGATACTGTTGTGGAGAAGTTTAAAGCCGGATTTGGATACACAAAGATTTCCCAACCTTTAAACATCCCAAGGAGCACTGTGTAAGCAATCATATTGAAATGGAAGGAGTATCAGACCATTGCAAATCTACCAAGACCTGGCCGTCCCTCTAAACTTTCATCTGGAACAAGGAGAAGACTGATCAGAGATGCAGCCAAGAGGCCCATGATCACTCTGGATGAACTGCAGAGATCTACAGCTGAGGTGGGAGAGTCTGTCCACAGGACAACAATCAGTCGTACACTGCACAAATCTGGCCTTTATGGAAGAGTGGCAAGAAGAAAGCCATTTCTCAAAGATATCCATAAAAAGTGTTGTTTAAAGTTTGTCACAAGCTCCTGGGAGACACACCAAACATGTGGAAGAAGGTGCTCTGGTCAGATGAAACCAAAATCAAACTGTTTGGCCACAATGCAAAAGGATATGTTTGGCCTAAAAGCAACACAGCTCATCACCCTGAACACACCATCCCCACTGTCAAACATGGTAGTGGCAGCATCATGGTTTGGGCCTGCTTTTCTTCAGCAGGGACAGGGAAGATGGTCAGAATTGATGGGAAGATGGATGGGGCCAAATACAGGACCATTCTGGAAGAAAACCTGTTTGAATCTGCAAGAGACCTGAGACTGGGACGGAGATTTATCTTCCAACAAGACAATGATCCAAAACATAAAGTCACATCTACAATGGAATGGTTCACAAATAAACGTATCCAGGTGTTGGAATGGCCAAGTCAAAGTCCAGACCTGAATCCAATCGAGAATCTGTGGAAAGAGCTGAAGACTGCTGTTCACAAACGCTCTCCATCCAACCTCACTGAGCTCGAGCTGTTTTGCAGGAAGAATGGGCAAGAATTTCAGTGTCTCCATGTGCAAAACTGATAGAGACAAACCCCAAGAGACTTGCAGCTGGAACTGCAGCAAAAGGTGACGCTACAAAGTATTAACGCAAGGGGGCCGAATAATATTGCACGCCCCACTTTTCAGTTTTTTATTTGTTAAAAAAGTTTGACACATCCAATAAATTTCATTCCACTTTACGATTGTGTCCCACTTGTTGATTCTTCACAAAAAATTACAATTTTATACCTTTATGTTTGAAGCCTGAAATGTGGCAAAAGGTTGAAAAGTTCAAGGGAGCCAAATAAGCAACTTCATGTTCAAAAACAAGCCCAAAAAGCCGTAAACCGCGACTCACAAGATTTACAAGTGACTTTAGAAAAAAAAAAAGCCTAAAGTCGCTTATAATAAACAGACTTGGCAACACTGGCTTTTAGCCCAGGAGTCTTGTGTCCTTACAGAGAGCGGTCCGTTGCATGTAAACACAAAATCCATCTGTGTCAACGCATATCTTTTTCTGTAATTGACATACAAAATATACTACTTTCCCCCCACTGTGTCTGTGTAAAAAGGGCCTAGATCACTGATTCCTCACTTCACAGCTGACCCATCTGTCTTTGTCCCTTGCTCAGCTGTCTTTGATCAGTTTGAGCTCATTTTTCTCACATTTTTAAAGGATGTTGTTGGTCATATGAAACCCTCAGGTTCCCCTACTGACCTCATCCCTGCATCATATTTTAAAGAAGTTTTACCCTCGGTTGGACCATCTGTTCTTGCGTTTATAAATGGCAGTATTACCAAAAGTGTAGTTCCTGATGTTTTTAAGCATGCAGTGGTAAATCCATTAATTAAAAACCTGGACTTGACCCTTCAGCTGGTTCAAATTTCAGACCAATCTCAAAACTTCCCTTTCTTTCTAAAATCTTGGAAAACAGTTTTTATTCATTCATTCAACCTTTATTTAAACAGATAAATCACATTGAGCCTCGAAGACTCCTTTACAAGTGAGACCTGTTTGGACAGACAAAAACAGTGGTTAACTGGACACATGTAGGAGTTGGAGGCGAAAAAAATTCCTATCAGACTTTTTTCTTGGCTGAGAAAAACCCCCAATATTGAAAAAACACCTTGCACAAACATGCACATATTTACGTAGACATTCTGCAATAGAGCAGAGCAGGAAGAAGGAAGAGACGAGAGCGGTCAACAACGCTTACAGATATCTGTTACACCAGATACTGAAAGAAAATGTTCACATACTTTTACCACTCACTAATATGTAATATTGGATCATTTCCTCAATAAATAAATGACCAAGTATAATATTTTGTCTCATTTGTTTAACTGGGTTCTCTTTATCTACTTTTAGGACTTGAGTGAAAAATCTGAAGATGTTTTAGGTGAAATTCATGCAAAAATATAGAAAATCACAAACTTTGTAGAACCACAGTACGCACTGTTTGTACATGAGGCCCTGGTCCTTTGGAAGTGGTCAGAGGAGAAACTTATTCACATTCTGTAGTGAGTGCAATGCACATGCAGTTCCATCCTTTACAATTTAGTGACAACTTCAGTTTATCTTTAAGAAAAAAAACATGAGTGAGCGACTCTTCCATGTTGTTGAAACTGAACTGCCTGTTGTCTGCAGGTACTTGGAGTATTTACGAGTCCCGCACACAGAACCTATAGAGTACGAGTTTCGCTGGGGTCCACGAGCCGACGTCGAGGTGTCCAAAGCCAAAATCCTGGAGTTTATGGGTGAAGTAAGGACATTGTTGGTAACCCAGCCTGCCTGCTGCTGCTGTTTAAATACAAAAACAACTTTGCTTTTTGGTTTCAGCTTCATGAACAGGATCCTCGGAGCTGGACTCAGCAGTACAGAGAAGCTCACTCCTCCCAGAACTCCCAGGCCAGCAGCAGCTCATAGAGGAAACTTTTAAAAACATGTTATCATTTTATATCAGTACTGTTTACATTCCATTTTAAACTAAATACATTTCAGATTACTTTTAAGCATCAAACTCATGAAACGCAGAGTTCTGTGGGACATGAGGTCGTCTCAGACAAACAGAAGGACTGCAGGCGTGTTCTGTGGACAGTCTGGGTTTCTGTTGGAGCCATAATGTTTGAAGAGGTGGAGAATTGTTTCCCAGAGATGGATTCTTCCACTGAATGAGCGTCTGAACAGGACTGTAGGACTTCTAACAATATGACTGCTTCACTCTTTTTATCTAAACTGTTTAAGCATCTTAAAGTGCAGACTGTTGAATTATTAAAAGAATCACCAGTGTTCCTTTGTAAAACTGCAATAAATTGTATTATTATCAACTAATTATTTTCATCAGATAGAAGGAAATATAACTTTTTATGAGTTTGTTTTCTTCAGTCAAAACTGCTAAACCACATCAGAGCTGTGGGAGTTTTAGGAACTCCCTTAGGAACATTTAACTGTTTGAAAATGCAGTGAGTTCAGTGTAAAAAAATTCATTATATACATGTATACCATATATATAATGGTGTGTGTATGTATATATATATATATATATATATATATATATATATATATATATATATTTAACCCTTTTAAGACCTAAAATCAGCCCAACACATTGTTTTTTGTCCATGTTTTTATTTATTAGTTTAGTTTGATACATTCAAATAATATTTTCCAGCAAAGCCTAAAAATCCTACTTTTTATTTTGTCAGAATTTTTTTCAAAAGCTCTCATATCCTCACAGTAACTTTACTACAATTGTGTTCCTGAGGGGAAAATTACCAAATTATAACACACTGTAAATAACTTATAATCTCATATTTATCATCATAAAATAATTAATTCCTCTCAGTAATGCATTTTCTTGTTACCTAAATCCCTATACTTTAGATATTTATGTTTGCTTATGTTGGTGTTCTTCATATACCGGTATTACAGTAGTCCCTCGCTACTTCGCGGTTCGTTTATCGCAAACTCGCTCTATCATGGTTTTTCAAAATAAGATTAGACATAACACACAATTGGCTGATTCATGGATGAGCCGCACAATCGGCATGACATTTTTATTTAAAATAAATTATTTTAAATTATTTAGCGACCGTTGCACCGCTGTGCAGCCCACACTGCAGGATAAACTTCCTGCTGCAGCTGATCAGCTGTTCTCCGTGCAGAGCGGAGCAGTGGGCGTGGCCAAGAGCGCTTGCAGGTGGCAAAGAGCAGACGAGGCAGGGAGCTGAAATGAAATTCTGTGCTCTTTTAGAGCATTTAGTTTAGAAACATTGTTTAGAATATTGCAAGAGTGGTGGAAGTGTTTAAAATGCCATATATATATTATATAAACTACTACTTACTACTTGTACTAATATTCATACTTAGCAGTTTTTCACATAAATGAGGAACTACTGTATATATATATATATGAGTCTGTAAGAATCTACAGAAACTAAGTTGATCTTGCTGTAGAAGCAGAACCTTCCATCAACCAGACGTTCCGCGCCTCATCTCGTCTGACAAAATTGTTCATTTCGGATGTAAAGAGCAACGACTCACTTGTACTGTGTGCAAGTACCGTAACTAGTACTAAAAAGCTGCTTCACGTGCATGCAGGCTGCAGAAACGTGACAGTGGTTGGTTTCACTAAAGCAGGACATTGTTAGCAGGAGAGTTGTGCTCCCACAGCTCGCTCATATATACAGGTCAGTAAAAGAAAAAATCAGTTTAGAAACCAGCATTGTCAATGGGTACGAGTTTAAACAAAAAAATAAAGTTGTTTTTTTTTTCCTTCAGAACCTTCGTAGAGACCAGGCCTAGTTTTCAGAGACCAGATCTAAAGAGTCCAATGGGCTGGAGGGTCTTCATAGAACGACTGGAATTTTTGTTTTGATCAATGTCAAAACATCATTTTGGATGCACTAATAAGTGGAAAATGTCCTTTTTAATTTTTTATTGCAATAAAGTAAATATTTTGTTTGTTTTTACTGAAATGTGTATTTTATTTAATTATTATTATTATTTTAATCAAAAGTCCCCCCCAAAGAGTTAAAATTCAAATGTCATTTAAATATGAATAATTTTTTTAGGTTGCTCTAAAAGTTTCACTGTTTTTTTTAATGGAAAATATTGTTAAAAATAGTATTTTAAAGCAGTTAAATAAGGTGGTAGATTTTCCCACTCAGAATGTAATTAAAATTGCCTTGATGTTTCTCTCATTTGTGCGTTTAACAAATAGAATAAATTTAAACATCATAACTAACCATTGTAGTCTGATTAGAGTTGTCTTTTTTTAGTGTATGTAAACATCTGGTTTCAGTGATCTGTGTCATCATACCTGCCCGTGTTCAACAGAACGTTTCACAGTAATAGAACATTTGGTTTCACAGACCTTTGACCTGAGCGATGCTCCATTAAGACTATTTACAGTGAAATGAAGTCAAAATGATCATCTACAGTGGCTTCAATGACAAAGGCCTCTTTTCTTCAGGGCAGCATCTTGTTACTAGGTGTGCTCGGGGACCGTCTCCAGGGCCGCCTCCGGGTCTCGGTTTATGTCCACATTCTAAAATAAAAATAAATAATTAAAACTGCATCTGATACACAAAAAAGTTTAACCTGCCTTTCAGCAGATTTGCAAAAGTCTGCAGCGTTAAAAGTGTTTTAGTCATTAGTTTGGCTGCTGACTCGTTTACAGACTGAAGGAAACGTTCAGCAACTTTGAAGCTGGTTTCAGAGGAAACGTTTAGAGAAATGTCCCGTGAAACAGCAGTGAATGATTGTTGCTGAAAAATTTTCTTCTCTAAACTGTTGAGTTTAATTTGAACCGCTGACATTTGCTGAAAGGAAAATAAAATGTGCAAGCAGCAGAAAAACAGCTGAAATGTGTAGAAAAAGCTGATTATAGCAGAAATCATCAGAATAAGCTGAAATAGGCAGAGCAGCAGAATAATAATAATAAAAAAAAAGAAATTAACAAAAATATTTAGCTGGACAAAACTTTAAAAGCTGAAATTAGCAGAAGAGTCTGAAAAATGTCCGAAAAAGATAACGAAGGTAGAGATCAGCACATAAAAAAAGACTAGAATTAGCAGAAAATACATTAAAAAGGGTAGCTGATAAACTGAAATTAGCTAAAAGAATATGAATCAGAAGAAAAGTTGAACTGAGCATTATAAGACTCCAGGTATAAATCCAACAATGTTCAGTCAGGTCATCTGGACAGTTTCTTTTGTTGCTGAGACGTTTCGTCCTTCATCCAGACGACTTCTTCATTCTGAGGAGGCACCAAACCAAAATTAATCCCACAAACAGCTCACTACCAGAGTGGGATTAAAAACAGTTTGCTGGTAATAAGATGGCTTCCGGGGCCCGCCCTCTCCCCCGTCAACTCCTCTAAAGCAGCCATGCCAAAGTGGTTCAAAACACCAAAGTTCATGCTCAATAATCCAGGTATAACAATGTTCAGCCAGTGTTGGAGCAGTAAAAGTTGTAAAATGGCTCAAATGGTTTGAAGGCTGTGAAGAGAGCCCCATTCATTTTCAACTAGAAACACATGGCCGACAAAGCTACCGGTAAATATTTCACAAAATCAAAATTGCACAAATACCAAAAGTCGGAGCAGGAATGTCCTGAATGAGCTTGTTGAAATAGTGCAAAAGTTGCAGAACGAGTTCTGTGCTGACAGAAGAAAAACATCCCGGTGAGTGATTTAGAAACATTCAGACAGCCAGTGATGTTGAAGAGCCCTCGGCACCTGGAGGATCTGGAACACACGTCTATCCAGCCAAAGTGACTGCCGGCCCATTTCTGCCCACTCCTGTCCTCTGTCGGAGATTCCTCCTCCAGGTTCTCGAGCGCCTGGTCGTACTCCCTGAAGGCTTTATTGGCTCTAAAATCACACATAAAGTGAACCAACAAGCCACGCCCATATCTGGATTATTTTCACTTCTTATTTAAATTACTTTTAAATATGTGTCAATTTTCACGATACTCGGCCTTCCAGAACATGGTGAAAGTGGCCTCCTGTTGGCAGAGAATGAACCTTTAGTCCAGTTCGACATGACTGTCGACGAGGAAGAGGGCCGGCACCACAGGAGGGGGCGTGCCAAAGATACCATCTTAGCACCAACATAACTGGTTTGTTCCACTTTGGAGTAAGCTGTTGGGGGAATAATCAGTTTTGTGTTGTGTGTTTCCTTGACTGATGAAGCCTTCTGGATGGAAGCTGAAATGTTTCAGCAAAAAAAGAAACTGTCCAGATGACCTGACTGAAAATTGTTGGAACCTTTAGTCCTGTTTTCTGTTGGTCACGAGCCGTGAAGGACACACTGCACATCACTCTGAACACATCGGTCTTACTGGGAAACGTGGCAGCATCATGGGACGCTTTTTATCAGCAGGGAGAGGTAAATGATCAGAGATGGATGAAACTAAAGTTCTACAAATTATCAAATCGGGGGCTGATAACAAATGTGTGCTTCACTTCTAATTTTCAATTGTACTATGTTTGTAAAAAGCAAGTATAATTTTTATTTCTGCTTCATAATTACAGTGGTGGCCCTGTGATGGACTTGCGACCTGTCATGGGTGTACCCCGCCCCTCGCACAGTGTTTGCTGGACATGGGCACCGGCGACCCCCATGACCCAAAATGGAAGAAGCGGGTAAAAGATAATGGATGGATGGATGGATGAATTACAGTGGTGCTTGAAATTTTGTGCAACTTTATAATTTTCTATATTTCTTCATAAATCTGATCTTAAACATCATCAGATTTTAAAAGAAGGTTAAATAATTTTATCTGGACCAGTTTCTTTAAGGGAGAAACGTTTCATCTTTCATCCGGAAGACTTCATCAGTCTGTGGTCTGCCAACTAGATCTGTCCCATAAGTACCCTTCATTGGTGAGAGACCTTCAGTGGCTTAGAAGTTACCCTGGGGTTCTTTGTGACCTCGCTGACTATTCCACACCTTGCTCTTGGATCTTTGTTGGCCCACCACTCCTGGGGAGGGAGGGTAACAAGGGTCTTGAATTTCCTCCATTTGTACACAATCTGTCTGACTGTGGATTGGTGGAGACCAAACTCTTTACAGATGGTTTTATAACCTTTTCCAGCCTGATGAGCATCAACAACTCTTTTTCTGAGGTCGTCAGAAATCTCCTTTGTTCATGTCGTGATCCACTTCCACAGACATGTTGTGAAGAGCAGACTTTGATAAATCCTGTTCTTTAAATCAAACAGGTGCTCACTCACACCTGATCATCATCCCATTGATTGAAAACACCTGACTCTAATTTCATCTTCAAATTAACTGCAAGTCCTAGAGGTTCACATACTTTTGCCACTCACTAATATGTAATATTGGATCATTCCCTCAATAAATAAATGACCAAGTATAATATTTTGGCTCATTTGTTTAACTGGGTTCTCTTTATCTACTTTTAGGACTTGTGTGAAAATCTGATGATGTTTTAGGCAAATTTATGCAGAAATATGGAAAATTATAAATGCTTCAGAAACTTTCAAGCACCACTGCATGTCCTACATTGTGTTGGTCTATCAGATATAATCCTCTAAAAATGCTTTGAAGTTTGTGGAGGTCGCATGAACGAACGTGGAGAAGTTGAAGGAATAGGGAAACCTTTTAAAGAAACCTGGATGTGTACCTCAGGACGGTCTCGGTGTGTGTTGACGGCTTCGATGTTGAGAAAGACAGACTGGACACGACAACCTGAGAGAGAAACAGACAAACATGTCAGAATCTGTCTGGTACAAAGAGCAGCATGCTGATGTTCAGGGTCCAATCGGACTGCACAGATTAGTTGAAAGTGATGATGCTGCTTCAAACTGAACGGATCAACAGAGTTAATGATGAATCCAAAGTCAAAGTCATGGTGATGTCATCAAAAACAGAACCTTTTACTGCTCACACTGACGACTCTGCTGCAGGAGAAAGAAGGTGTGATGGAGAGGAGACCCAAACAGAAACTGACCGTAGGCAACAGGCGTAAGTTTCAGCACTGTGTGGAGAGGACACTTCAGGTAGGGCAGCTCATCTGATGCACAAGAAGACAGAAAAGTCATGTGAGTTTAGCAGCCTACACGTGAAAACTGTTGCACTAGACCGTTCTGAAAAACAAGACGGTCACATAACATGCAGTTGGTTTCAGCCCCTCTTTCTGCTTCAGCTTAGGGTTTGATTGTTTGCAGTGATTATATTCTGTTCCAAACATAACCGTTGAGGAAATTAGCTTTCAAGTTTTTATATTGCTTAAAATTATAGTTTCCTTTGGGGACGGCTGTGGCTGAATGGTTAGAACAGTCATCCTCTAAAGCAAGAGTTGTGTGTTTGATTCCACCAGCAGTCACATGCCGAAGTGTCCCTGGGCAAGACACTGAACCCCTCATTGCCTCTGATGTGTGTCCCATTGGTGTATGAATGTGATAAAGCACTGGTTATTTTTTGTACAGATCTAGTAGAGAGCTGTATGAATGGGTAAATGAGGACACAGATTGTGTTGTAAAGAGCGTTGAGTGTTGATAAGATAGAAAGGTGCTATATAAGTACAGTCCATTTACCATTTAAATGATTAGGGTGACTGAAGATGAATCTATGGTGGTCAAGGGCACCACCATTGCCACCCCCGCTCAACCATTGCACCTGCTGGTGGATAAAATTGCTCCCTCCACTCTAGGATCCATCACTTGGCTCAGACAAGACAATAAAAAATAACTCTTTGTTCTTCTTCACAGTATAACTCCTACCTGCTTGAACGTCTTTCAACAAAAACATTAAGGTTGACTTGTATTCCCTGAGAAAAACACTCATCTACAAAAATACAAACATCCACTATTCAAATCCCTGAAACGGGAGACATCGGCGTATACTGCTTGTTCTTTAAATGTGCCTTCACAATGTACAAGATGACTCCAGCTAAGATTCCAGGGAAGTAATCCAAGTTTTTGATTTGATTTAAAAAAGGGTTATACTGCATGTTGAATATTTTTTGGGCAAATAAAAGTTATTTTTTCTCTCACCTGCACTCTTGTTCAGGAAGTAGGCCAGCAGACATCTCATAACAGCTTGGTGACAGATGACCAGAATGTTTTCCTGTCTCTCCAGCTCCATGATGACTGGTTCCAGCCGCTGGACAAGGTCCTCATATGACTTGCGAACAGATAAACAACATGATTTGTGTGATCTGTATTCATGTCGAAACGTTTTAGTCCTCATATAGTTGTCCACTTCAGAAAGTGTTTCAAAGGACAAACATGAGTGCTGCAAAACAGACGTTTGATCTTTATGAAAAATATCTAGCTTAAAATATACAATAGTTATA